GAAAAGATTGTCTAAAAGAACATTATCATCCCACATGCCAGTGCAATTGCAGAAAGCAGCTAACAACAGCAATCAAGCTTCTCAGAGCAAGGCATGAGAAGGCAATTTTTCTTAAGCTTATCTCTCTAAAGCAGACAGCTTAAGAACAGTTTGGTGTGAATTAGAAGCTTTGAATTTGGGCTCCAGTGGTATGGCTAAGCACTGTGATCCATTTTTCCACCTGAAGTTAGTATCTCAGTACAAATATCTAGTAAGAACAGAAATGCAGAGCACATTCGGTGCAGCCATTTCCACTCCCAAGACAGTAAGTACCTCCCAGTGCTTCTCTGAAAGAGTTCTGTCAGAAGTCAGCAAGTTTTGCTTCTGAATCACCTTGCTACCTTAAATCAACAGCCAGCAGATTCCAGAATATTAACTTTAAGCAACCACATAGACATTTCTCTGCCCTCATAAGAGGCTCCCGAATTAAAACTAATAAACCATCGATTTTGGAATTCTGCTGCTAGATCAGTTAAATTAATCTCCAGATGCATTGCAGAGACAGCTGTAGTGTAAACCCAGACACGCTGATTATCAGTGCTAGTATAAAAACAGCCCCAAGTCCTGGCACCATAAAGCCAAAATCACTCAGAGGAAAGCAAGCAAATAACACTGCTGATAAAAGATCCAGGATATAAATGGTTTGGATTTCATATTAGTTGATATCAGTATTTGTCACTAAAGGGTAGTGGGGCAGTTCCAATGACAAATATAGACACCAAGATAGTGTGAGAAATTAGAAGAGTGGTTTAAACTGTGGGCTGGATGCTGGAAAAGGCTGCAGTAATATTCTGCAGAGGTAAGCAAGTTACAGCTGGCAAGAGTCTGTACACACAGCCCTGAAAATGGAGAAATACAGAGGTCCATCACTCTTGTTCAGCCACAAAAGAAGGGATAGGAAAAATCTGAACAAGTCTGTCTGAACTGAATCTAGTGAAGATTGGATCTTATGAAATGCTGCATTTCCCATAACCCAGATAAAAGGTCCCAAACAGGCTAAATGGCCAACAACAATGACTGGCAGCCTTCTACCTGCCTTGCCAAGACAAAGCACCACTGATGGCCATGGCAACAACTGCCTCACAGGGAGGGATGGCCCAGTCAGCCACCTGGTAACTTGTGCCAGTGTTTTCAGAGAATCAACAAAGTTGGAAAAGAGCTCTGAGATGACAGAGTCCAACCTAGGACTGAACATCACCATGCCAATTAGACCATGGCACTAAAACTGATAATTTCTAGCCCTAAGACTGATAACTCTGTATAAAGCAAATCCAGAAACAAGAAGGTCAGTCAGTCAGTCATCAAATCTGTAGCAAACTGTTTTCCTTGTACAGCAAGACAGGTCAAGGAAGATGCAATTCCAGCTGTGCTGATTCCCAAAGAGGTGCTGAGAATTAGCCTGAAGGTTCCCACACTGGGCTTCTGGGGAATTTAGCTCAAAGTGGGGACAGGAACCCACCAGGGAAATACCCAGAACTGAGATATTTATAGAAAAAGGGCCTTTCTTTTTAATTCTACCCAGCCCCATACAATACCAGTGAACGTGCCATGACAGTGCTGGAAGGAATCAGGTCTCTGAAAGGAAGCATTCAGGACCTGAAGTCACACACATGCCCAAGTTGGATGAGTCAGAAAGAACATGTACTGCTCAAGCCTAAACAACAAAACAAGGACACAAATGAGAGTGAAAGGTGAGCCACAAATATAGAAGACAACAACAGCAGGAGGAGCAGCTCGCTCCTGCTATCTCAATTCAGCCATGGATAAGGTGAAAACAAACCTGGTTTGTAATGTCAGAGACTATATATAGTTTACTACTCTAGTTTCTGGGATATGAACTGTCTGAAAGAACACTCAATAGAATATATTTAGACTGCAGACCACTGTTACTGGTGCAAAATTTGAATCAGAGCACATGACGTCTTTCTCTTGAGTTCCTGCAAGGCCTGGGAAGACAGTGCTAAGAACCGAGATGCTCAGACACTTTCCAACCATGTATTTTTTCTAAAAATCCCAATCCTTCAAAAAGGCTTATCATTTCCATTAATTTTTTTTCCAGTCTGTCTGCCTTCCTGCTAGCTCCCAATAGCAGTGTGCACAGAGCCTGCCCTGACCCTCGACCCTGGGATGGTAATTTAGGTCTCTGCAGCTCACAGACTGCCCCAGAGCCTGGGATCCCAAATCTGCTCTGCAGAAAAGAGAAATGACTCCCCAGGCAAACAGGAGCCTGAACTGCAGGTGTCAAGGCCTCTCCCAGCAGCTCTGTACCCTAAGCATCAGCTACACAAAATGGGAGACAAAGAGATTGAAACAAAGGTGATTGCTGTGCAGTGCAAGACATTCAAAAACAAACACATGAAGGTCAAGACATGAACCAGCAGTAACTGAGGAGTTCCAAACAATCCTACACAGGATTCCCAGAAAAATCAGGTCTGAATAGAAAAAACAGGAAGATGTTACCCAAAGAACACCCAAACCCAACCCACAGAGTGGAATACAGACCCCCAACTACGAACATGAAGTAGGAGAGAAGAAGCAAGATCAGCTTAAATGAAGGGCTACATGACTTCAGATATCTCATTAAGTGGCTGTGTCCTAAAATAAGAGTCAGGTCCAACAAGTCAACAGAAGAAAGACAGCAGCACCACCAAGGTTAAAAGGATTGATGCAGCTGAACGTCAAAGCTGTTCAGCTCAAGGAAAGGAAAATCCTAAAGCAAGTCTAGGCAATTTGGTCTTCAGGCACATGTTACAACACTCCTATCACTGCCCCTCATAAGTGCAGTTCATATCAGAAACACAAAATGCCTCATCTTATTGCTTGAGCATGAACTACCCCCTGCACTGCACCTCTGAGCAGTAACACAGACTGCCAAGCAATCTGTAAACACACACAAGCCACTGTTTACAGAACTGCCTGGGGTTGTGAGTCCTTCCATAACAGCCCAGTCAGCTGAGCCAGGCACTCAGCTGAGCACAAGCAGGCAGTTCACCAAGTACTACAGCAGAAGGAGACTACAGTCCACAAACATGCAAACAACAGGTTCTACACTGCAAGCACTGCAGTCAGAGCCACACAGACACATCCTGTTGGAACAGGCTCAAACTCAACCTGTAGACTGACATTCTACATGGGAGAAGAGCTTTTACGAGGGTTAATATTAAACTTACAGATTAGAGCAGTTCTCATCAACTTTACTAAGAATGCACACATGGTCCAAGGCACTGTTCATCCTTGCATGCTCTCTGATGGTCATATCCTTCAAAAAAGCATCCTTCTCTTTATAATGTTCCATGACTTTGAGTAATAGCTTTGTGAATAAAACAGAGAAAGATTTTCCAGGAGATAAACATAATGAGTTTGTTAAGCTGGCCAGAGTGATGTAATGCAATCCAAGACATCCAAAACAAAGTTGGTTTTGATTCTTAGCTCACTGAGAACACGGAAAGCCAATAAATCAAACTAAATCTAACATAACATTTACCTGTGGACCTTAATGGTATTTTCAGAAGAGAAGCACCATTATCACTAGTTTCATAGAAAAGGAAATTGAAGTAATGAATATGAAAGAATTACTCAGTCACCCAGCAGATCAATTACAGAGGAACAAGATATTCTGAATCTCATTATAGTCTTCATTCTATAGCAAAACATTAACTCTCATCTGCACAGAGCCAAGCCACAGAATGCCATGTAGACAGAAAACTGCAGGACTGACTTTTTTTCCCCAAGACATGACTAATCCAAAAACCCTTGGCTTGTTTGCTTGGATGGTTTTAAGGCCACTCTCTCCGTAGTCCTTCTAGAAATATCTTTCATTTGTGCTCCTCCAGCAATAAGCAAGAGAAAATACCATGTATTTCAGGCTGCTTAATATCTTTAACAGAAAGCTGAACACAAACAATTTAAACACATCATTATCTCTTCAACATGAAGAACAGTTAGCAGTATATTCAAATTAACAGACCAAAACATTTTTCTGCTACGTGGCTGTAAATACACAATAAATCACGTGGCCATAGGAATATGAAACGTGTCTGGTCTTCCCGGCCATTTTGTTTCTCATGTAATATATGATAATAAAAAAAAAATTAATTACTTAAACATGTATGCCATATGTACATGGCATTCTTTTTAAGGTTGCTGAAGTCCATTTTCTGCCACTGGTCTTTTCAGCAACTCAAAAAGTAAGTAAATACAAACAAACTGCAGAAAACACTTTTCCTGGACTTCCTACAACTAGTAACCAAAATTTAACTTCACAAATCGCTTGAAATCGCAGTGGGTTTTGATGAACAGCTTACAAAAGTAGAAAAGCAGATTCCCATTCTCTCTTGCACCAGTGGCGTCTCTACGTCTCTGCTCTCACAGGGTCGATCGTGGTTAAGTTTTGGGAGATACACTCTCTTTGGCTTTGTTTTCCTCAGACCTCTGCACAGTTGGGGTTCTGCTCCCACAGCTTTCCAGGACTATCCCAGAGCACCCTTTGAGGTTCTGCTGCCCACTGATTGCACTGCTGTTACCACAGGTCAAACGGGCTCACGCAGGATTTGGCTCCGCATGAAATCGCCTCAGTGTGAGCCTGCCTGACACATTCACTGTCTTAAAACTCACAGACATACGACAAGTAAAGCAAAAAGCTGTGCCAACCGAGCTCCACACAGTTTGAATGTCAGCCTGGTATCCTGCATGACAAATACTCCGCTCAGAATAAAAGTTTTAACGTGCCAAGGCTCTCACGAAAAGTAAATTTATTTACAAAGGCAAAGCCTGCACTCATCATTTCAGAAACACCTCCTTGACTCTGGCAGGTGTTCTGCAAGCCAGCAGGCTGCACAACCTGGCCAAGAATGTCAAACACACGTAGCACCTCACAAAAGGAACAGAAAGCAAAACTGCGCCATCCAGAAAGTTTTCCCTTTCAAACTTGGCTCACAACAAAGCTCCGAGGAGCCCCTTACCGTGAATCTCTTTATGTAATCAGAAACACAAAATCCTCCCATGCTCAAACGAAGGGATCTGTGCAGGGAAGATTCTTGATACAAAGTTCCCATTCTGCTGGGCTTGTCTGGTGGTCACCCAGGTAGCCTACAGCCTTTTACTGAATAAAGCTGCACTGCCTCCCTGGATCTTGCTAGAATTCTGTTTGTGTGATAAACCAGGCATTTCATCTTATCTACCACTACACCAGGCATTTCAATCATTTCACTGCCCTATCAGCAGTACTAAGCTCTATCTGTATCCTAGCAGCTCACTTCCTGAATCCCTGATAACGGGAGCTCCGGGGCACGGAAACAACACAAGATGACAGTCACATCTCTGCAGGCACTGAACAGCTCCTTCTTCGCATTCCTCTGCTCCTTGGCTTAGTTTCGTCCAATTTTACTTTGCTTTTGCTGTGACTTAAGGACAGCAAGTTTCCTTCAGCCAGGCAGCGACAAAACTGTCACTTATCCAACAGCTGTTCTTTTTTTCCAGTGACACTGAACTGCTGCAGGATATTTGCTTCCACATAACACGATTATTACACGTGGGTGTTTCGTGTATTTCCAATTTCTTAAGCACAGAACAGAGGGAACAATGAAAGGGCACAAAAGGACCATTCAAGAGGATTGATCCTCTGTCAGAACTCTCATACCTATTGAAGCCTTCAGCACTGTTTCCACAGCCTGATTTGAGCTCAGAGCCATTCCCTGTGTAAAACCCCTTACAGCCAAACAAAAGCACTTACACAGGTTGCTACGAAGTCCATGTAGATGTATTTGTGAACCCCTAGATTCAGAATATTTTTACTTTTTTTCTACCTACACGGATTATTATGCAGTCATAATGCACCCAAAATGAACCCTAATGAATTCCTTTTTACTTTGTTCAGTGTGAGACACACTTTTTTTTTATCAAGTTCTTACCTATAAGATTGTGTCTGCAGAGGACAAATATACAAAGACGACGGATACAAAGATGCTGGATGACCTAAGAAGAAAAGTAAGGTCTGGAGAAGAAACTCTACTTTCAATTTTAATCTGTGTTGTGCCTTCCTTTCCCATTCAGCCAAGAGATTGTAATAGAATTATTTCTGATTACAAGCTTCAAGTGATCTAACGTAAGCTGAATCACATCAGGCATGGGAATACAAAATGACAGTCACTCTCTATGGACCTGCCTTTGAGCAGGTGGACAAGCCATCTCAGACAGCAGTACCAGGGCTTAGCATGGGCCAAGTCTTCACTGCTTAAATCAGAACAGAAGTGTGTTTTACTGCAGGATGAGTGCACATGCACTCTCTGCCCTGGAACAATCAAGTGAGCAATAAGGGTAAGATACTGTACCTTTATCATTATGATCTAAGAGATGTCAGGTCCAGAGGTGTGGGTACAGAGCTGGCTACCCCTCTCACAGAAAAAACAAGTGTTTTGTTTCCACTTGGGTTTGGAGAGCAAAAAACCAAATATGCTGTTAGAAAACAAAATAAAGTGAACGTAAGTACAGACAAAACCAGAAAATTAGGGTGAGTGAGGAGCTCTTGCAGGGCAAAAGCCAGGGAGGAGATGGCTGTGCTGCTGCAAGTATTTGTTACTGCCTGGCAGGGAATGTTTTTCAGGCTATCCAACAAACAAGTGAACAGGCAGGGGTCGCCTGGGGTACCGGGGGATTTGAGCACAGTTCAAGGAGACAAGATAGTTCTCCCAAGAGATGAGTATCCAATATACTGGTAAAGGGACTAGTTTAACATCCTGGGAAAGTGACACAGGCAACCTGAGGCTGCCCAAGATGCAGTACTGGCCCCAGATATGTGAGGCCAATCTCGACTGCCAGACCCCTGCACGATTCCCACCTCCACCTCTGTGCTTCAGCTTTTCCACCTGTAAAACAGAGTTAGCCCTTCGCAGCCAGAATATTCTCAGAGCTTTGGAATCTACTATTACTATGCCGCCCTTTTGAAAGGCAAAAGCAAACTGTAAATTCTAGGTCACAACTTCCCCAAAAGTTTTAAGCCCCATTAGCCCTGTGGCACAGGGACAGCTGTGCCTCCTGAGCAGGGAGAGCTGAGGCTGCTCCTGAGCCCTCCTGCCTGGCTGGGGCAGGAGTAAAGAGTCATTATTACTTAATGTGGCAGCAGAGGCATGGACACCATGCAAGCCCCATGCCACGGGGAAAGCTTGCATGACAAAGAGAATCCTTCAGAAAATTTGGCAAGCCCTCCAGAATTTGCAATGCTCAGCCTGCAACCTTCCATTAGCAGATCTAAATACAGATCTGTAGTGTAAGACAACACCTTCCTGCGGTATTTTCATTAATTAATATTAAGAATATAATTATTATGGTGAGTTTCACTGATTTTTAAAATCCATTTGTGTTCTGCAAAAAAAACCCCAAACAACCCCACCAAAAAACACAACTAATTTGGAGCTTTTCTCTCCCCCATTTTAATTTCAAATCTCACTACGTCAGTTCTGGACTGTGTGATTCTGTGAGTATTAAAAGCAACAAATTAGTAGTAACCATATAACATTCAATCCACAACAAAGAAATAGCCCACTTCCCACAAATTTAAATGTACTGCTGTGGATAGAAATCAGGCAATGGACACAGGACTATGTTTTCGTTAATACCTGGGAAAAACCTAATGAATTTTACACGTCAGAAAATACATTTTGGGTGCCTTGTCCTAAAGCTCTAGAGACAAGTAAAGCACTCGCTTTGGACACAGGCTTCGTAGATGACACAAGACATCATTTACTTATAGAATAAATGCAAAACTTAACACCCAACAAATGAAATCAAATCCAAGGTTAGTACTTGAGCTTTTAGAGCAACTCTTCAAATCTGCTATATTTAGACCCTAAACTCCTCTCTCGAACCAAGTGTTTGACAGCATATCAGCTCATCTGGAGCACAGACCAAGGAAAGGGAAGAGGTAAAGAGGTTATTATAACTGGCTTCCCCAGCCAGCTGCTGACAGATATGCCAACTCTTGCACTAACTGCAGGCTAAAATGAAGGGGCTCAGCATTTTTAAGGTGACCTCTCTCCTCTCCCAGCATCAGCCTCTGTGAATGAGGAGGAGGTGCATTGGTCCAAAAACACATCCCTTTTTTCAGGGAATTTATAATCTAAACAACATTTCCTATATCAAATGGTTAATACAAAGTATCTTTCTTCCTGAAAATGAGGAGAAGCTTTAGTCACTTGGCACATTTCTTTTATACAACACTTAACAGTCAAACATTTTAGAACCTTTTTGTCATTAACAATCAGGGGCAGGGAGCTACTAACACTGATGTCACCCAGTTTATCTCGTCATGGCTATGCCCTCAACACTGAACTGCAGGTTCAAGTTCTCTTCCAAAAGGCATTTCCAAACTGTACCAGTAACTTACCCTTTCATTACGCTCCCATCCATGCAACAAGCTAGACCTGAATGCCAGCATCCAGGAGTGTTCCCAGGGGAAGGCACACAGAACCAGCAGGCAGGGGATTGATACCAGAAATGCTCAGGTCCCCTTCTGTATCTGATCAGGACAAGTATTCAGGAGCCTGTGAAGGCTTTGACTGATGAGGCATGTTCTAAGAGCAGTCAATTCCTGGTTGTCCCTGTGCCAGTATCAGCTCATTTCTAGAGCTGCTCCACTCACAATGGATTAGTATTAAAGGACAGGTCTGAAAGCCTCCCCACCTCATTAATATTCATTTTATATTTCAAATTCCCTTTACACAAGGACTCATCCTCAAGGCTAGAAGCCTCATAAATTATATTCCATTTTTAAACCTGCAGTATTCGCTGTCATTGTTTCAAAAGGAAAACACTAGTGGAGACAGCTTTAGGCAGTCTGCTTTTGTTTAAAAGAATACTATCTAAAGCCCTGCTTTAACTTCATTAGCCCACAAAGATCTGCACTGCAACGAATCCTGCCTGCAAAGCACAAACACAACTGTCAGCAAATTTTCCTTCTTTCATTACTCTGCTTTTGTTCCAGCTGCCAGAGTGGGTGGTGTAACATCTGCTGCTGAATAAACTCACAAAAGGCAACTTACCTAGTGAAACACTCAAAATAGCTACAAGCACCATAGAAAAAAAACAAATTAAGAGATAAAGTGACCCAGTATCTACTTTGTCTCCTGCTAAACATGGGAAGATGATTTTGCATTCAGAGCTATCACATCACACAGCAAACCTGGCTATGATGGCCATAAAAAAAGGTCCAAGGGAGAACATATTGAACCCTTCTCTGTAAGGATGGGGGCCAGTTTTTGGGTAGCAGTCTTTTCCTTCCGTGCAACACTGAGCCTTGTTACACAGGCCAACCCCACAGGCAGTGCCTGCACCCTTCTACCTTCCACTACTGAAGGAATGGACAGCAAAAGCAAAAAGAAAGATTTTTCTCTTTTTACCTTTGTAAAGCATTTGCTGTGACACAGATTTCATATTCAACAGCCTGTTAGTTTAAAACACAGACAGGTAACTGGAACCAGATGCATTTGACATCATTCCTCCACTTGCCCTCCAAAAAGCCTACAGTGGTGAGAAAATCAGACCAAACACATTTCCCAGAATGGGATGTCTAGGCTGTCACACACACTATTCTGTGCTTTTTATAAAAAATTAACCCATATCCTCTTGCCCACTCTGAGGTAGCCACACAGCAGAATTGGTAATTACAGCCTCTCATTTAATGCTCCATTAACTAGAGGAGACGTCATTTCTATGAGTAAGCCCCATAAAGAACACATGCAGCACCAAATTTATGTGTCTAATGAATATATATGTGGAAATGATAAATATAGAATCCTCTCTATATTTGAGTTTGAAATTCAGAGATAAATATTTTAGATGTATTTTAACTTTGGCAGCCTGGACCTTTTTTCCCCTATCTTTAAATCAGTGTTCACTACGTAGGTTCATTCTAGCCCTCAAAAACCTTCTTCACACGAAATTTTCCCCTTTTGAATTGGCTCTGGAAAACAAGGATTAACACTCTCCATCCCACTCCCAGTGGTGGTGGGATCTTGCTCACCTTCCATATCACATCTGAATCCATTTCCCACAGAAAAGCCCAGTAAACTCACAAGGAAGGACACAGATGGGGAAGGGCAAACACAGG